AAAAAAAAAAAAAAAAGAAAGGGCTGGGGAATGCAGTTCAGTGCAAAATTCCTGGGTTCAAGATTTAATCCACAGAACCGTACTCCCCCCACCCCCCGTTCCAAGAAAAAAACTGATCGAGCGCCTTCGTCCCCCAGGTCCCAGCCCAAAGCCTTCCAGTGCACCCTTCCCCTGACACAAGCTAGGGTCGGGTCCCATTTGCATCTGCGCACCAAGACTGACACATGCGCAATGGAGAGCAACCGTTAAAAAACTCACATCAGCCCCAGGGGGTCCTCCTTTATCTGCGCAGACAGGTCTCACGCTCCCCTGGGCGGCCTGAAGCCATGAACCTTTCTTTCATACTGTGTTTTTCCTACACCTGCACACTCTTGACAAAGTATAACTTGTAATTAGGCATAGTAAGAGATTAATAACAAGAAGTAAATGTGACAGGACTAACAAAAAGTTACACAATAGCTAAATAAAAGTTACTCGCACCGTCTCGTCCTTCTCTCCCTTGTGATGGCAGGATATGATACCATCCTGGCCAAGGACAGGGACCGGAAACGTGCGGGGTCCCTTCCGGCCTTAGCTGGGCCGCGGCGTGACCCCGGGAGAGCTCTGCTTGGATGAATGTGCGACTTGCAGACTGCTCGCGGGGGAAAGAGAAAAATACAAGTAAAATCGAGGCTGCAGACTTTTTGAGGGGAACAGCCTAGAGGGAGTGTGGCCGGGCACCCGGCTCTTGCTTCCTCTCCCTGGTGAGCTGCAGGGCAGTCCGGCACCCACTCTGTGTCCTCCACCACTCGGCTCTCCGCTGAGGGCAGGACAGTGGCCAGTGGTGCGGCAGCGCTGCCATAATCGAGCTGCTGACCCCGACCAGGCAGGAGGTGGGCCGTGCAGTGGTGATTTTCATTTGACTATTTTCAGAAACAGGCAAATGCAATGAACTATAAAAGAGAATAAATCCTTAAAAAGGAAAAGGGACATACCAGATGTGGTCTTTTTCCCCTTAGGGGACTAACCTGTACTGTACACTTGTGTCATCAGGAACGTCATGCACAGACTGCTCGGCTAACCTTGGCTGACCTTTGCACACATCTGGACGCATCAAGGCCCTGCATAGGCTCAGGGATCTGACCGACCGCTGCCCTCTGCTCTGGCCTAGCCATGCCAGCCTTTATCTTGTCCTGGAAACATCCCCAGCCTGCTCCTGCAGGACTCTTGTATTTGCTGTTCTCTTTGCCTGGAATCTCCTTCCTTGGGCTGTACATGTCTGGTTTCTTTTCCTCTGAGACCTCAGCAAAACACCCTTCCTTGGCCATCCTACTACAATCAGCACCGACCTGGGCTCTCACTCCGGTAGCTTTTTTTTTTTTTTTTTTATTGCCTTTTTGCCTGGACTACCTCATTTTATTTGATTTTGATCTGTCCCCCACCCACTGGGGTTTTCCTTTTTGTGGCCAGCTGTACAAGCAAGCAGAGCGGCTGGCACAGAAAGGATGCTGAACAGTGTTCACTGAGATAGTGGACGGACACATGTGATGGCTTTAGAAAGCAGAACGAGGGATGCTGACAAGGGTCGGTGACCTCCAGCCAGAGACCACTAGGCACACATCTGAGTCAAGCTGGCTGGGTTTATTACTGGCTGTTGCATAAAAAGAATTGAAACCATGGGTATCACATTAAGTGTATGTCATGAAAGGGATCCCAAATTTCAGGTTCTTATTGGGTGATCTTGGTTGGGATTAAGCAGGATTTTTATTCTGGGTTCGATATTAGCAGGAAGTAGGGCCAACACCATGGGTATTCTTAATAAATCTCATCTATAAGGAAGGAAGACTAGAATTGGTAAAAACAAACAAACAAGCAGACAAACAGGATACAAGTCACATGGTCAGCATCAGCTGAACATTCGCTTTTCCAGGGTGGGGATGTTTGGTACCTTTGTGTGTTAGGGAATTGATCATGTTAAAGTATGCTGTGACGCCACCTCACAGGCTGCATTCTCCTGGTACATCTTGGCTCCTAAAATGACCTCATGCCCTTATCTCTGGTTTCCCTCCCCCGCAAGGCCACAGTGGTCCAGGAAAGTTGAAACCTGTGTCTGCAGGACTGGGCCCATAAAAGCAATCTGGCCTGTGATAGGTTAAAAGTAGCTCACTCCTCCTAAATAAGCAATAGCCCACCCCAAAACTGATAAAAGGACCTTCCTTTCTTTGTTCTCTCTCTCCTTCTGCTTCTTCCTCCTCTCTCTCTCTGCCTTCCTGCCTCCTGCTCGCCTCCCTACAATAAAGATCTCCTGCCGGACCTCTCGGTGCGTGAGTGTCCTCATTGGGAAGGGGCACCCGAAAGGGCACGCGAAC